AGACAATGACAAAAGAGAGAAGAAGACACCAGGTCTTAAACCATAATGTTTGAAAGAATGAAATGTAACGGTTAACTCTTGTTTAGCGGCGTTTAAAACGTAGAACACCATCAGTGTTATTGTAGAGGAGACACCATGTATGTATGTATGTATAATAGGTATAATATTTATTATTTTTATTTGCATAATAAACGATGGCGGCGTCGCGGAAGTAACGCGAAAACTGTTCCCGCGGCGTAGTCGGTTCCAAAACCAAAAAAAGAGTTATTATTACAATAGTTCAATATTATTTAATAGAGCGATTCAGCACCATCGCAATGTTCGAAATGGTGTATAATATAATATAATATAATATAGACAACAATTATGACAGTTATATTATTATGTTCTTGATTGTTCTTATTGTATAGCACACCGACACGGTATAACTGCACAGATTGTGGGCTGTCATGGTGAATGTACGTTTCCGCCTCAAGCAAAGACAATTGAACAATTAATGTTTAAAATATATTATACCGTCATGCTACTCTTTTATGAGTTCCCATAATAGACAACTAATACGCCACGTCCAGTGAAATAGAATATTATGTAGAAAAACCGAAATCTTGATGATAAACCGATGTTTATTAATGATTTAAAATGTTTAATTAAACAAGAAAGTCTCTCAAACTTTCAATTAAAATGATTAATTTTCTTTAACTTGACAGTTAACATTTTAATACAATACTACATATCATATAACATAATATTGATAATCTAATTACGCCGACTTACTATTATTTTCAATGTAACCTATTTTATTAGTGTTAGGTATTTTAGTGTTACCTAACCAATTTGTTTCACTATTTCAACATTAATTGACGACTAACTTTGAAATGTATATTTTATTTTGTCTAAAACCGTGATTATAGGGTTTCTATCTGATATAAATGATATAATAATAATATACAACAACATAAAAATATCGAGGTTATTTAATTTTGATAATAGTATCTACTCGTATATATAATTTATAATTACCTCTAAGACTCTGCGGGAGTTATATATTTGCATTCTTATATGGTGACCATGCTTTTGCAGATGCTGAAAAACGTAATGACGTGTATAATACCTTAAAGTGGGGATAAACGAGTTGTTAAACATTAGTAATTCGGCAGTATGGATTTAGTGTTCTTTAATGAATCTTTCATTACAATTATTAGATTTTAGATTTTTCTGTGATATTAATAAGTATTTAGGTACATCAAAGGCGTACCCAGGATTTTTCAATGTGATGGAGGGGGGCTTGAAAATTAATAACTACTCACTTTCATCACTAGGTAATCACAAAATTACGTTTGATAAACACTAAGTAGGCGCTTTCATCATTTCTTATAGTGATATGAAACATAATTAATAAAATATACACAAACATAATATAATATTTAAAAAAAATATATTTATCGTCAAAACAATGGGCAGTAAAATACAATTTTTATTATTATTTTAAAGTAGATATAACATACATGGTAGATAATATGTTTTCGTGATTACTGACAGTAGGTATAATTAATTATTTTTTATTTATTCCTAAAGACATTAAAAAAACGTAAAACGGCCCGGATGTATATTATATTATCGGTATTGTATGAATACCATTAAACATACAATAATAATTAGGGAAAACCTTCTAAATAATTTTCAAAGAATATCCCAAGGCAATGTTAATTACAAGCAATTAAAATTGAATTATGCACTTTTACATTCAATTACTGAACTATCTACGTTATATTGGTACCATTATAAATACAAACACCAACGGCATTGTAAAACATGTAAATCTTTACACCCCATTTATCTAGAGTATCGGGAAAAATTCGGATCCGTATATCAACATATTAAGTAGGTATATAAATATATTCATTTTGTATTTTTATATGATCAAAAAAAAAAAAATATTGATTATGACTAGATTTTCAAATATATACTATATTAATGTCTATACATTATTATCATTCAGAATAAACATTTAGAAAACAAAAAACATTTTAACCAAATCCACCAAATCATCAAGTATTATTTGTTGTCAGTCTCACGCATGTACCTAATCGTGTTGCTTACTCATTAAAAAAAAAAACATGTAAAGGGATAGGTACATAATTACCCATATCAATATGACCACAGAATATTAGTTTGAGAAGTCGTCAGGAACAAAAAGTAAAAAAAAATATGGAATAGAAACATATTTATGTAGGAAAAAATGAAACGATTGCAGCTAAAAAAGTAACTCGTTTATACTTTGTGCGGGAATTATCGTGTACATATTTTTTTACCAGTTACTTAATTAGTGATTTTTAATAATTGATTTTTTAATCATAAAAAGTATAGACAGTACCCCAACATCAATATTTTTAACCATACCAATAATAAACAATAATATTGATAGTCCTAAGTCTGAAAAAGGTGGTCAAGTGGAAGTCACTTTGCTCTACAGTAGGTTACAAGTGACTCACTGTATAATGGATGGTATTAAATTTGAATTCAATGATATAATATCATTGTATAAGAAAAACTATTCTGAGCGGAGAGACGGTATGTCAGTCTAGGCATAAGACAAAGACATATTATATACTTATCAATGGTATTAAAAAAAAAATTGTACCTTAATAATTCCAAATTAATCATATCACAATTGCCATTAGGTACTTAAAATTTGTTATACATCAACAACAAACCGTGATACTATAATAGATATACAATATTATACTTTAGAAGTTTCAATTACCCACGAATGATATTATACAATTACAACAAAATAACTAAAATAGTTATCTATGTTTCTAATATGTAATTTCGTCCAAATTTGAACTTCAAATGACTATAAAAATAAACTATGATTGTGTATTTTTTTTAGATTTTTTGGTAACAGAGTTAACTATTTACATGGAATCTTGTTTTAAGTTTTCAATCCTTAGATATGAAAGTTGATCATTTTATACATTTTTAACTACAAAATAATTATTCAATTTTAAATTTGATAAATTTTATTAAAATTCGATCTTTAAATGCTTATAAAAAAAAATTGTGCCTATGTATTTTTAATATTTTTCAACTGATGATGTAACAATAAGTCAGGAGCCTTGTATTAAATTTTACACTTTTTAGCCTTACAAATATAACTTTATTAATATTCATAGAAAAAAAATGAATTTATGAATTCTTAACTCAAAATAATTTGCTGATTTTCGTGAATTTTCTATATTTTATCAATTTTTGAATTTTAAATGCTTATAAAAAAACTGTGATTAAGGATTTCAAATGTCATTGTAACAATATAGTAGGAGTCTTGTATTATATTTTCAAGTATTTTTACTCAACAAATAAAGTTTTATTGACATTCATGGCAAAAAAACATACAAAATTGAATACAAAAAATGTCCCTAAACAGTTAAAAACAAATCAAAATATTTTGAAATTTTGATCGTGTATAGAAAATGCAAATATAAGCAACCAGTCAAAATTTCATGTATCTATGGTCATTTGTTTGAAAGTTACACAAAAAAACCGAGCTAATTTTGTGTAAAAATTTCCTTTTTTTCCTTATTTTTTTTTTGTTTTTCACTTCGCGTTTGAAAATTACTGAGTATTTTAAATGTTGACCTTCCCAAAACACCAACAATATTCACTTTCCCATCGAACAAGATACTGAAATTGTAATTCGAAACATTATTTCGACTACTTATAGTGTACAAATACACACAAGTAAAAAAAAACACACATCATTGTAAATTCAATACATTCATCGTTCCACTCAGAAACTAAAATTCTAAAGAAAATTTGATTTTGCAAAAATATTGCTAGAAAAATGTACTAATGAATAAAAAGTATTTAGGGCGGAATTCACATAACAAAATGAAATATGAACCGCGACCTCGGTGTACAATATGAAAAGTAAAAAACGTACCTACCACTTTTTAACCTGACACGGTTAACGGTAAAAACAAATATCAGTCGATGTAGCGCAGTTCACTATAATATTATTCTGCTCCCTCACTTAATATTAAATCGGTTACCAACGTGCTATTTCCGACGTTGCCATTTCCGATGTCGAACACCAACGAAGTTAATTTTACCACCTAGTGTTGAGGCTACCTTATACGGTGTATCTACCATCCAATACAATTTATAAAAAATATAAAAAGTTGACATATTATATAAGTAACCAGTAGGTATTGTGGGTACCTACCAAGATTGTAGGAAAATTGGTACGTTCGTTGTGAACGTTGAATATTGATCAGATTTGTAATGTAAAAAGAGCCCATAGAACGATTTTAAAAATAACATAATATTATATTTATCTGTGAACAATTTATCCTACAACTACCATTTAATTCCTATTTCAATTAATTAATGATTATATATAATTATTGTATTCGACACAATTGATAAATAAAAAATACCTGGAAAAGTGGGTCTGCTGCTTAGTATACCTCTTCATATCTTCATTAAGTTGGTCACTGTAATGGTTTTTCCGTACCTAACGAGGACATTTTTTTTTTGCCTAATGTATAATACACATTACACTTCTAAAGAATTTTGGTTATTATATATCAGATGACAGTAAAACGATGAAGGAAACATCATGTTCTCAAAGGTTCGTTATAGACTACCTATTTATGATTGTATATTAATCAATATTTGTCTATGTTGATAACATTCCTGGGCTAGGTAGGCACTTTTAAAATATTACATTCCATCCAACACATTTTTATAATAGAAATAATATAATAAAATTTATTTTTGTATTATTATTTCAAGTATTGACAACATGGCATCTAGTCTAATGTAATAATATTGTTATTAAGTAATTTAACGAAGTACATTTATCTATACAAAAACAAAGATTTAAAACATGCTATAGGTACTAATTAATTTTATATAATATAAATTTACTAATTGACTACCGTTGGTATACGATGCTTGTATAATGATTATTATTGATGGCCCGTATGCTCTTGTCTCTATTGATAATACAATGCTTGACCCTTTCTAAATTTTTGGAGAATGATATCTTGATGGTGACCATAAACTCCACCAGCTCCGTTGTCATGAATTGGGTCATCATAAATTGGGTTTTCAATAGGACCATGGTTATGGCCAGTGTGATCTTCCACCGTATGAGATGTGTGATCTTCCACCAAATGGGATGGGTGACCACAATTTTCATGTTTGTGGCCTTTATGGTCACCTCCTTCATGGCTCATGTGAGTTTTGTGATCTTCATCATTTTTCTCTCCTTCGTGATGAACGTGAGCACTCATGCATTGTTGTAGTAAAACAACCGCCAATAAACAAAATACCATCTAAACAAAGTTAGTCAATTAAAAATATATTTTAAGATCTAACCTCTAAATATTAAATAAATATCAATAATCAGAATTTATTTCAATTATTAACACAATGTTGTATTGAATACCGAACTTTTTTTTAAGCTTCTTTTAACAATAAACATTTATAGGTACTATGTTAGTTTGATAAATATGAATATAAATTATGTTAATTGTTTTCTCATTTATAATAAGTGTTAATCCGTGAATTGAATGTCATTATTTATTAATCATACAGTTAAAATATTTTATAATAATATCACAATTTCACTAGGCTGTGCAAATACGCAATATTTTTATTAACTTGTTAAGATAAGTAAAATAAAAAAATTTAAATTGAGTTTATAATAATTAAAAATAACGTTTATTTTTTAAACTTCATAAATTTGCAACATTCACATAACGAATATAAAAAAGGTGGGTAAGTTGATGTCGCTCTGCTGTACAGTAGGTTTCAAGTGGGTAACTGTATAAAAAATGTGCCTATGTATTTTTTGTATTATTCAACTGCTATTGTAACAATATATCAGTAGCATTATATTAAATGTTGACACTTTTTGGCCCAACAAATAAAACATTCTTGATATTCTTAGAAAAAAAACCTATAATAATTGAAAATTGAAATTGTCCGGAAACAGCTCGAAACAATTCAAAATATTATGAAAATTTTATCAATTATAAGAGTATAAGTATAAGTATTAAGTATAGAAATTGGTATAAAAAACATAATATGATATTAATTTCAAAAGCCTACGGTTATTCGTAAAATAAGAATATCGCTACAAGAGAAATCGAGTGAATATCCAATTTATTGTAAAAATGTTTAATATCTATATTTAGTTTATATAAGGAAAAGCAATAATATAACGTCAATACAAAATTAATTAATTGAATAGTAACTGCACATCATGGGATAAAATAAAACTAAATAGGTACCTATGTTATGATTTTTATTTAAAAAAAAAATGCATTCTACACTTCGGCAGTTAACAATTTAGTATTCACATACAAAACCCATATTATATTATAATACATTAATATGATTTAAATTTTTTTTATTTCCAATTTTAAATTTTTAAGGCTTATATGATGAGATACTTAACTTAACATGATTATAAAATTAATTAACTGATAAGTGGTGGGTAACTTCAAGTCATGGAAAATAATAAATTAGGAGTTAAGTTTAGATTTAAGTTAGAAATTACTTTGGAAGCTTAAAAAAAATTAAATCATTAGGTATCATTATTGAAAATTATTAATATTTTTTAACTATTATAATAGTAATTTTGTTTAACTGAATGGTATATACTTACTGAATATTTCATGATGTTGAATGGAATGGATGTCTTTAACAGAAAAAGTCTTGAAAATAATCAGTACTGGTACAACTCTTCGTAAAAACTGTGAATAAAATGTAAGACTACCACTATTTAAATACAGTGTCTGGAGTGATAAAAAAATTATCTATACAATTATGCTGATAAAAATGATAGGTGGACCTCTATATTTTTGAGATTGGTTTTAATGAATTAATTTATATTTTTTTCATACCTAATCATTAATCTCATAATACAGGATGTATCAATCATATCATTTTTTTTTCTATAAAGTGTTATCCATTAGGTCAAAATGATAGGAAATGTAATACAAGCGCCTCACAAGTTGTTACAATAGCAGTTTAGAAATATTAAAATACATGCACACTATTCTTTTTTATAAGCATTTCAATTTAAAATTTTGACAACATTTAACAAATTCAATTTAAAATGATTCTGTGTGAATGCGTTTTATATATGCTGCGCATGGGACAGAGACAGAAAACAAACAGTGTGTTGACAATATCCTCTTAAACATCTAAAAAGCAAGTATGTTTAGGTTCTAAGACTTTGGGCATGACTAATGTTTAAATCAAGTATTATAAATTTCCCTCTCAGAAAATAAGCTACAGATCTACTCATAAATGATTGGAAATAGGTTATTAAAATAATATTAAGTGTATAATATTTCACTGATATTTTGTTATTTAATAATATTGTCTACATCGATTTCCTTTATGAAAGAAACTCAGAAACTGTGTACCATCCGCAGAGTGAAAATCAACATTAAAATGTTTATCAATGTTTGAACAAAGTGTTGTATGTTGTAGCCCTGCACCGTATAGCTAAATACAGTCGAATTTATAATAATATATTATTATTGTGTTACTATGTAGGTCGCTATCGCCTATCGTGTATTGAGGTGGATCGTAATATGATAGAATGTATCTTTTAAATTTTGTCGAACAACATAATGAATATTATATTAAAATTAATTTCTGCTTCTACAGGTATTATATTTTCACACCTATATACCTATAATATTATATAGACACCGGTTCGAGCATTTCGTTATTATGTTCGTTATATATATATTTTTTGTTATTTTTTTATGCCTAAAGTGACCGAGCTGCACTTCCACGCTCCACTCGACCATAATAATGTTATATTATTATTATTATATCACGTAAATACCTAGTCGAGCGTGTCTCGTCGCTTTCGTTGTCTGTACAACCAGTTTTCTGGCGGTTACCGTTGAAATTCTTCGACCTGTTTTGTGTCGCACTGCCTACAAAATATATTACTTGCCCTTTAACGGAGGGGAACACATTAGAAGGTCAACCGGTCGGCCATGGATCGCTGCACAGGCCACAATAATATTGTTACACGCTCAGACTGCAGATGCCACACAGGTACCTATAATATTACTAACTATATAGTGTACAAGTGTACAACGTAATATTATATTATAGTGTTCTACGGTTTCGGCACCGTCAGACATTCCGTTTCTCGATTTCACGTCGTATATTATATATTTATGTTGTGTATTTTCGTCGTACCACTAAACACTATAATGATACATGTTATAAGTGAGCTCCTGTCAAGGACTGAGTGTCTACAGCGATTGAAAATAAAAACGGGGGCCGACACACCAATAGTCATTATTTATAATAAATAAGTAATTTACAAAGGTTATCATCAAAACCGAAAATATTTAAAACCTTTTAATTTGGAGGTATATAGGTATTGATTGGGACTTATCCATCCGTGGACAGTCCCACCCCGCCCAGGTCCCTCAATAATCTTGAGTATAAGTTGATTTATGTGGGGTGTCAAGGAGGAGGAGGGGGGCGCGGAGCAAGGAGTATCAACGGTAATTGTATTCAAACATTTTTTTCCTCTTCCCCCATATTGTAGGGACTTCAGTGACTTATATTCAACACTGAACTCTAAAATATTTACTTCTTCTTACTGTATACGTTATTCAGTGTCCTCAAAAGCCACACACTTGTGATAAAGTACACGACAAAACCTTACACTTAAGGCAAACTATTGCTAGATTAAAACCACACACATACAATAGGTTGAACTGCACATTTTTTTTAATTGTTGTATTCAAAAACCTTATATTTTATAATGATGTATTACATCTATTATATTTTATAAAATATGACTATAGATTAAAAATTGAATATAAACATTTAAAAATGTAAAATGTAATACAATCAGTTTTTTTTAAGATTCTTCCCAACATTTCCACTATTATTCACTATAAATGGTCTGTACTTAAGATCATCAAGTACTTGACACTTGCTCCTTTTATTTCTATATCAATACAAAGAACCGATAAAAACCTATATACCCACCTTTTTGGTTTTGAAATCATAAGTGTGCGGTTTTAGTATGTAATCATATTATTACGTAACAGATACGCATCTACCATGTTTCTGTTTTAGTTTCATTGTTTTGGTCTTCACAAAAGAAAATATTTATATACTTTTTATATCTTATGCTGTTTAAGTTGGTACTACACATCCCGGCGTTTCACGATTTTAACGGTATAATATTATATACCTTTATAGAGTAGATAGTATAGGTACCTATTATGTAGTATGTACCTGACAAACACCACAAAGACCGCCTGACAAAGAATCGGTGTATTGTTCAGCTGTTTTATACTTACATTCTCTTTTATACTACGTCTGAATAATTAAGATGGACGGAGGTTTTCCTATTATTTACTTCACAAATTCACAATATACAAGTGGAACGTGGAACGCATTTCATTGGCAAGATATAAAACTGCAATGGATTCCACTTATTATTTTGAAGTCAATGGTTAATTTATTTTTAGTTTTTATTCAATTTATTTTGTATTGTAGGTGTTATTAAAGTTTAAATGGAAAAATAGCATTTAAGTGGGTAACACTCTGCGCATCTGCTATACAGTGTACATTAGGTGTGTACAAAGTCACTGTAATGGATGTGTTCAACTTAAATTCAATGATATAAAATCATTGTATACAAAAAATTATTCTGAGCGAAGACGGACTGTCAGCCTATAGTGTATAGTAATTGTGATCAAAGTAATTAATTTTACAATTAGACATTATTACCTACTACAGTCGGTTAAATACATTTTTACCGAAAAATTGCATTTAAAAATGTCATTGTGCGTATAAAGTATAGTTATATAGGTACTCTAAAAGCTTCAAATATTCACGAATAATATTTTTAAATGTTATAATTTCTTAAAAATTTGAACTTAAAATGTCTGTAAAAAAGTACTGTCCATGCATTCTTTTTAGATTTTTTGGTTACAGTATGAATTATTTATGAGAAACTTTGCTTTAAAATTGTTGAGATTTTTTTAAAATTTCCACTTTAAATGCTAAAGTATGAAAAAAAATCACGCATATAAATCTTTACTATTTCTCAACTGCTATTATAACTAGTCACAAGAAACATTGTGTTACATTTTCAAGAAGTTCAACCAAACTATTTTTTTTTAAATTGATATGACGTATAGAAAAAAAAAACTAAAAACATAGACAATTTCAAATGTCTATAAAAAAATGTTATGTTCCTAATTACGGTTAATAGTTATTAGTTATTATAAAAATATTGATCTACATTTTCATGTTTTTTTTTCAAATAAAGAACAAATTTTCATTCATATAGTGAAAAAACTAAAAAGTTGAAAATTTCAAATGTCTATAAATTATAAGTAAAAAAACAACATACAAAGGACCATAAGAGTTTGATACCTTATCTAAAAAATATTATTATAAATATTTCATGAGAATGTCAATTCACTAAAGTTATTCATTTTGGAATTATGCAGCATATAAATATAATTGATTTTTTCAAAAAAAGGTTAAGGCTATTTCCTCTATTATAAAAAAAAAATTATTTCTATTCCTCAAAAGTTCCTGGATCCAACTTTTACCAGAATCCATGAAGTTGAAATCGTTTGATTTTTTTCTACTATTAAGCGTATAAGCAATATATAATTATACAATTATGGTAAGCCCAATGTAGATACATTTATCGCTCGGTAGCTTAGTATCTAAAACAAAAGAGAAAAAAATGTCGTTAATTATATTCAAATTATCAGTATTTTAGTATAGTGGCCACGTTAATAAAATATGACCTACCTACTTCCATAAGTACAAAATAGGGACTGGAACCGTATCGAAATTGACCGGTTTTGGTCCGAAACCTTTTAAAAATCTTAGGACCGAAACCGGATCGGAATTATTAACCACAATTTTTTTTAGGAATCGAAACCTATATTTTGATGTAGAGGTTTTTACTGATCCAAAATCCAATAGATATTTTATCTATGGTGTAAGTAGGTCATAACTAATAAGTTATAAGTTAGTTATAACTTATTAGTATTTAGTCATAATAAATATATATAAAATCGTAACCTATAAAAGTTTATCAATGCTAAGAAATAAGAATATTATTATGTGTACAACAGAATTACCATAAAAGAAATACCAAAAATCCAAATTTTAATTTCCATGTAATCAATACCAATATTAATGTTGAATTGCAAATCGCAATATCTATGGTATTAAAAAAAAATTGACCTAAAATAGGTATCTATAAGAAATTCAAAATTAATCAAATCACAATATCCATTAGCTACTTACAATCGTTAGGTATACGTCAACAACAAACAGTGGTACCATAAAAGATATATAATACCTAGTATATTTTAGAAGTTTCAATTACCCACGAATAATATTATACAATCACAACAAAATAACTAAAATAGTTATTCTAGGTTTTTTTTATGTAATTTCATCCAAATTTGAACTTAAAATGACTATAAAAATAAACTGTGCGTATGTATTTTTAAGATTTTTTAGTAAAAGAATTAACTACTTACGTGGAATCTTGTTTTAAATGTTCAATTATTTGATATAAAATTTGAACATTTTATACATTTTTAACTACTAAATAATTATTCAATTTTAAATTTGATAAATTTTGTCAAAATTCGATCTTTAAATGCTTATATAAAAAAATTGTGGCTATGTATTTATAATATTTTTAAACTGCTATTTTAGCAATATATCAGATGCCTTGTATTAAGCCTTTCGCACTTTTTTACCATTCTAATAAAATTTTCTTGATATTTATAGAAAAAAACCTAAAAAAATTGTAAACAATTTCCGTAATAAACATACAGTGAAATTTGTGTGTATCTACAGTTATTCGTTTTTAAATTACAACAAAAGAAGAAAATTGCTCCATAAAAAATCGAAGGAATATCCAATGTTGTAAAAATTTGAATTTCAAACGCTCATAAAAATTTAATTTGACTTTCTTAGACATTTTTTCTTTTGTCAAAGGTAGATAATCTTATAAGGAATCTTGTATTACTTTTTAAAATCTTAGATTTAAAAAGAAACATTTTTATGAGTTCCTAACTCAAAACAATTTGCTAATTTTCGTGATTTTTCAGTATTTTGTCAATTTTTGAACTTTAAATGATTATAAAAAGAACTGTGCATAAGGATTTTTTATATTTTTTAAAGGTCATTGTAACAAAATAGTAGGAGCCCCGTATTAAATTTTCAAGTATTTTTACTCATAAAATAAAGTTTTATTGACATTCATAGAAAAAAAACTTATAAAATTGAAAACAGAAAATGTCCCTAAACAGTTCAAAACAAATCAAAATATTTTGAAATTTTTGTCGTGTATAGAAAATGCAAATATAAACAACCATTCAAAATTGTATGTATCTATTCATATATTCATGTTTCTTTTTTTTAAATGTTATACCAAAAACCAAAGTCGATTTTTAACAAAATCAAACATTTCGATTTTTAACAAAATCAAACATTTTGATTTTTAACAAAATCAAACATTTTGTTTGACATTGTGTAACATTTGGTTTCCCGTTTTTCCTTAATTTTACTTTTGGCGCTTTTAAAAGTTACTGGTAATTTTTAATTTTGACCTCCCAAATAATTCACTAACAATATTCACTTTACAATCGAACAAGATACTGAAGTTGAAAATCGAAGCATTATTTCGACTACTTAACGTGTACACAGACACAAAAATTAAAAAATTAAAAAAATATAAAATTAAGAAAAAACCACACATCATTGTACAATCAATACATTCATCGTTCCATTCAGAATCTAAAAAAAGTCAAATTATAAGGCTCAAACCGGTATTAACCGATATTTTATATTTTTAAAAACTGAAACCAGAACCGACACAGAAATTTTGGGTTTTTAAGAACCAAAACCTAAACCTAAAACGATAAAATCATAAAGGTTCCAGTCCCTGGTACCAGCACCTTGTTATAGGTCATATTCTGAGAACTAAGTATTAAAAATAAAAAATGGTATCGTTTATCGTGTAGATCGCAGGAATAACTATAATCAAAATTATATTTTATTTTTTAAACATATTATCTTACATTTTTATAGTTTTACCGTTTTTACGGTTTCATGAAACTTTAATATATTAAAATAAATAAATTACATGTTGACAGTTTTTAATAGGGCTATATAAAATACACATATACTTATACTTATTTAAAATATTATATAAAGTTTGTGTGTTTGCAGTGAATTTACAGATAGTCCATACAACCAGTGCCATTTTCAAAATACAAGATGAACAATACAGTGAAAAATGTTTGCGGTTCAAAAAGGAACTGCAACAAAACAATATTCAATTACAATTTTTATATACCTACAAGTATGCTGGGTGATTCAATTAATGTGAGACACTCGTGAATGTTTATTTTTAACTTTTTTCAATTACACCATACAGTTTTAATCTGATCTTCGAAAACTGGATATTTTTCTGAGTATTTCGATACATAAAAATCGAATTTAGGATAAGTGTTTTATGAGCTTATAAGTGTTTACAGTTTAGATGAGCGGAGTACCTAGTTGGAGACCAACATTTTGCAGTGTAACCGAGTATACCACTCCTGTTCGCTCATCAAAACCTTAAACACTTATAACTCATAAGCCACTTATCCTTAATTCGATTTTTCTGTATCGAAATACTTGGAAAAATATTCTCATTTGGAATGTAAAATTAAAACTGTATGTTGTCGTTTGAAAAAGAAAAAATATAAAAAATGTTAAAAATGTTGTTTTCTTTAGAAACGGTGTAAACATTATTATTTTTTTTCAAAACCATTTATACTTTTTGAAGTAATGAGTGTTCAACGGTACAAGAATCACCCGCTGTACACCATAGTATGTGTGATTGTGTGCGTGTACACAGTATATTATAGTATATTATAATAGTCACCTACTATAATGAGTATAATGACATTATACATTGTATCGTATATGGATTCGAAATAATGTATACGACGAATATGTGTACAAACATTGGCAGATACGTGAGAGTGCCATGCAGCATGTGTGGTTTCTTTCTTATCCCGTCTGAAATTCATTTAATTTGAAATATTTTATTTTATACACTGATGATAAATAATAATATTATACACATTGGTACATACATGGTGAAATGTCAATAAGTCATTCGCACGCCTAACGACTTGCACAGCTCTTCGTAGACCACGTAGCCAATGGACGTGCAGGGCAGCATTTTCATGAGACTGCCGGTGATGCCTCTGTAAAGGAGTAGGAAGCTGCGAAAGTTCTTGGATGAAAACAGCCGCCGCCGGTCCCAGTTTTCCGACTCGACCATTGTTCCTGCACACACACTTTGACGATAATACATATTGATAAAATTATTTATTGATCGGTTTTATTAATTATTTGCAGCTCACGAAATATGGAATCATATTTTATAGTCGTGTCGTGTCATGGATTAAAAACCGTGCTCAGGAACCGCAGACATTTATAATAACTCACCGTAAAGAAATAGTATCAGTGCCTAACTTTATTACCATTGATTAATTATATGTACCTATGTAAATTGGAATATTAATCAATGATAATATAGTATTATTACTATCTGAAAATGTTGATTCTATGATGTTGTATCTCATTACATTTAAAATGAAATATTAAAATGCTACATTTTCAAAATAATATAATATTATAATAGTTTGAACACTCTGTTACTACCTGCTATAATATAAGGTACTATAGGAATATACAGTGTTGGGGAGTAACTTAAGTTACAAGTTACTGTAACGAAATTACTTTTTAAGTAATTTGATGGTAATTTAATTACATTTTATTGTAAGTAATTTATATGTAATTTAAGTTACTTTTTTGTAGTAATTTTTACTAAATTACTCGTTACTTTTTTTTGGATTAATACATTTTTTAGAACGTACCTATTGATAATATTGTGTGTAGGTAAATATTAAAATATATCATAATATAACTTATTAGTATTTTAATTTATAGGTGAAATTGTATGAACTGTAGGTACTATTTTTGTTATAGCTATTGACAGTTCGACTATAAAGTGTTACTTTTAGAATGGAATTCTTATCTTTACTCTGTACTCTGTGTTTTATCGTCGCGGACGGCTCACGGCGTCAGCGTCTGCGTATACAGCATTGTTGGAACTATCAATAAATAGTAATAATAATAAAAGTGAGGGAGACGGAGTGGCCGAGCGGACTAAGGCGTTGGTGGCAACGCGCACCGTAGCTGGTAGGAATCTCGGTAACGGGCAGACTACAGGTGCCCAATTTGAAATTCTTTCAAGCTAAAACACACGTGTTTACAAAAACCTACCGTACCCTCCATCTCAGTTAAAAACCACCCAATTGCTGCGGGTTAGTTAATATAAAAAAAAAATAATTAATAAATAAATGTGTGGCTTGGCTGCTAGCTACCAGTCGCGCAATACTACTGAGAGTAAGTTGCGCCCGCTGCTACTAGTTCCCGGATGGGTGACCACCCGGATTCGTAGTAGTAAAAACCTTGCCACACTTACACGTGTTTACATACATACCGTAACAACACCTTACCATACCAAATTTACCAACCACAGTTTATAATCCCCTACAACTGCAGCTTATGGCCATAGTTTCCGGGCTTAAGTTCAATAAAAATAATAATAATAATAATAGTGTAGCAAAATGGGTATCTTCTAATAATTTCACATTTTTGATTGGTATTACCTATTGAGTTTATGTATTGTTATATTGACAACATGATTATTAAGCTCCAGTGATATTTTTGAAAAAAAGTAACTTCTATTGTAATTCAGTTACTTTTTAAACTCAAAAGTAATGTAACTTAACCATATTAAAAAAAAGTAACTTAAAAATAATTTAGTTACAATTTTGATAAGTAATTAGTAATGTAATTTAATTACCAAAAATAAGTAACTTCCCCAACACTGGGAATATAGGTCCATACATAAGAATACTTACCTACCTATAACATTACTTACGTACAATAGGTAACATAATATAACTATAGTTATAACAATTTAAAAAAAAGGGGTAATTGAGTAACGCTCTGCTGTACGTATATGATAGTTGTCTAAAGATATCACTGTAATGGATGTCTTAAATTTGTAAAAAAGAAATAATTAAATCATTGTATACGAAAAACCATTTTGAGAAAAGACGTTCTGTCAGCCAACAATATTACCAAGCATATTTTATGATATTATATTGTGACTTAAGTAATTGTTTTTACTGTTGGCTTTTTCTACTACAGTAGGTTAAATTAATTTTTGTCAAAGTAATTGTATTTTAAAAAAGTGGGAAAGTGGGTGTTGCTCTACTGTACAGTAGGTTACAAGTGGGTAACTGTTATGGAGTGTATTAAATTTGAATTCAATGATATGATAATATCATTGTACATTGTGTCATTGCATAAGAAAGACGATTCTGAGGGAAGATAGTCAGTCAGCCTATGATATTAGTAACTATATTCGATAATATTATTGTGAATAAACTAATTTATATATAACCTATTGGCGGTGGACCCCGGAACGTCCCCATGTCACCTCTGTTGTGCCTATACCTGAGTGAGCTGTGTACATTATATAATAATTATTAATTTCTATACAAAATATTATAATACACTTATTGTTAATGGCGTTGTAGCCGGTTCGTATTTTGGTACAAAAACTACAATATCTTACATGTTTCCAGGAAAAACTCTTTATATAAAGTCCTATTTAATTATTTTTTTTATTTAAAAGAGTAGAACATTACTGGTCACACCACAGAAAGATTTTCAAAATTATAATTATTATAGAAGCTAAAATATGCATTCGAATAATAAACAATATTTGTTATTTTTTAAACTTATTGTTCTACCACTATTTAAAGTAAAATGAAAATTCAGGGTTTAAATCGAATGGACCCTTTAAAAAAAAAAAAAAAAATATGAAATCCTACTATTCTACAGAGGGTGAGAGATTTTGATGTAAAACGTGTAAGTCTTTTTCGTTTATATAATACACCGTCGTATCAACCCACCCCAATAAAATAGGTATCAAACTGTGGATTAGTGGAAAAGTATTATAACTAAGGTAGTGAATAAAACACAAAATAGAGTTTTATGGAATTTCGGAAAATTGGAAAAATCTGTGCCGACACCATTAAAATCATTCCGAGGAAAAAAATTGTCTGCTGCACAGATATTATAGATCTGACACATTTAATTAATTTGTTTTCTGTTAAAAAAGTGAGAAAATAAATACATGATCACGTTGAACCGTTTTTGGTTATCTTATAATATTATATGACTGTATGTTTATTTTCAGTGGCATAAAAAGGTAAAATATACAAACAAACAGGGAAACTCTACATTATAAATCTGAACTCGGCGTGTGACCGGTATATTATTATATAACATTACAGTATCGTTTAAATTTTAAGATGAAAATCAAATCTGTTTATTTTATACATAAAGTACGTGGGACGAATGTTCTTTCAAGTTCCAAGAATGCGGTATTTCTATTTGAAATGTAGTAAGTATACCTATGCAGTGCACACTTCCTACTTACCCGACGACTATCTTTAATAAAAAAAAAACTCGTTTTTCGTAGAGGCCACGGCGTGTACCCATCCTACCTACCTATAACAATATTTAATCGTGACGAATATACGCACCGTTCCCTTTTTCCATCGATAGTAAATAAAAGCGTTTCAAGCGTGGCTTATACGAAGCTAAGAGTGGGAGTGGAGAATGTTTTATGGTAGAACGACGACGGAGGTTTGACAGATCTCTCTCACCCTCTCTCTCTCTGGACTGATTTTGCATGACGCATTTCAGCTGCCCAACACGCATTTTACATTATAATAATAATAATAATATGTTAAATAATTGTTACACTTGTATTCGGCCATGTGGGCATCGTTACAATTTTTTACAGAAAACTCACAAAAAGCAACAATAACAAAAAATACCGAAAATTGTTTACCATCTCGGTGTATAATATTGGTATATCCACCTGCACTATAATAATATAATATAATTACTAATAATAATATAACTTTTGCATTAACCTCCAGTAGGCGAGTGTACACCATCACAACGTCCGTTATCCAACTCGTGATATACTATACGTAGTGCACAGGCCAATTATTGCGTGTACATGGTAATATATTATTTTTGTAAAATACTGTTTTATTTTTTACACAAAATTAGAAAACTCCAGTGTTGGGTAAATTACTTTTGAAAGCAATTAAATCACGTTACTCATTACATTACATTACAATTTAATATTATTATTCGACATTAATTTTAACACATTACTTTCCTTTTTTATTCACAAATTAGGGCTTTACAAATAAAATTACAAAGAGGAATGTTCTGGCTGCGCTAGTACTAACTACATGCATAGTCACATAGATTGAAAACTGTCAAACGTCAAACATAAAATATAATATTATAGTTAATATTGTTTATGATTACGAGCGTAACATTTAGGGGAACCTCCCGCATGACCCTCTTTGTCACTTGTGTCCTAACTCCTAACATAATTATTATACCCGTATAACGTAATAAACACATTGTCAGTTCGTATAATCGACACGTGTTGTAAATTGAAGCTTTTCGAGAGAATTGTTCTGTTTTGCTCCAGAAGTCTACATTAAAACCACGGGTGGCCCTAAACAGTCAAACTCGTCGAAAAAAACATTGTGTGATTATAATATCTTGTCATTCGTTCTACCTATGTAGATTAAAATAAAATAATTGCATAATAATATTATATCGATAGGTATATTAAAAAATATAGCACCCTGTATAAACATAATATTATGTGCGTGGACTGTTATAAGTTTTAACATTCGGAATATTATTATGTGTTAGAGTCCTTCACAAAAAAAACTCGATTACTCCTCCTTCGATCACAATTCGGTCGTCAATGTACTTAACATGTATACTATTCAGTGCACAGAACCTCAACGAATCCACAACACTTGACCTTGTAGATTCTCGTCTGCTTTCATATTACATAGCCACATAAGCACTCCTCTACAGGCCTCTCGCCTGACGTTTAAATCATGTATAAGCACTATATGAATACTTAATGAGAACTAAAATATGGACTTCCAATATTTTCTTAGACGAGTTGGTAATCTAGAATTTTTTGGAAACGCATAAGCAACTGATTTTATTTTATTTCCGAGTAAACCGACAAATACTCATAAATTGTTATAACAAAATATGTCAATGTTCTCTTGAGTACCTACCAAATAATGTCCAAAGTAGTAAGTTATGATAAAGAAACGGCACGTGGCACCTTGTCTATATTATATTAT